GAAGATGGTGGTACCTCTAGAAGGTGTCGGATTCTTCGACTCCAAAACTTGGAGAGAGGGGTTGCTTGAACTCGGTGTGTGAGTTGGAGTCGGGCTACTCACTCTTTTCCTTGTTGGTCTCCGTTCATAGGAAGATGGGCGAGTGGGTTCCATTGGAATATCAAAAGAGGAAGATTCTTCGGAAATAGAATTGCGTCTTAGAGCTTGTATCGTCTCCTCTGTTTCAATGGGTGCTATTTCATTCTCTTCATCGGAGTCCGGAACTAACGCTTCTTGGGAACGATAACTCGAGCCATGAATTTTCTTTGTAAGTACATTGACTTGGCTTGTGAGTTCTTTCACTTAACGCTTCAACCCTTTCACCGACTTGCAAAGCTTGTAGATTGTTCGATCTTGCCATTTACACCATCTTTGGGTAAGGCTAACTCCTTCGATGGCATGGCGGTCCGCGATGGTTTTGATTGGAGCTTCAAATTGTCTTTGTTGGTACCGTGCACTCCCATAGATTGGTGGAGGTGATGAAGAAAATCCGTCTTCATCTTGATGCGTGTCGAGAGTTTTTCCTTTGCCTTGCTTTGGAATGTGGATGGTAAGTAGTTGGAGTTTCACAGTGGGAAAGGAAGAGAAGCTTTTGACCAAGCTTAAATATGATGTTGGCTGGGGAGGAAATAGATGTGATCGTTGGACTTGGTAGATGTACCTTGGTTTCATTATTGCTACCGAGGTGAAAACAATATGCATATGCCTTGAGAACTTGTCCAGCAAGACAACCCGTTTGTTGAAGATAAAGGGCATCGATCCTCGAAGATCCTTTAACCACGGTTCCAAGGGTTATTCCACAATACTCCAAGAGTGGAGTCACCAATCCTCCAATACTTATCACTGCCTTTTTTTTTCTTTTACGTATTTATTCAATGCCCAACCTTTGTATTCATTGAATTTAAGGGCAAGAATGGCTCCAAGATTGACATTCGGGTGTCCCGTAATTTTGGACACACCATTGATTTTCAAGAGGAATGGTTTGAGACCTTCAATAAGGAGACACATCTCGTCCTCTTTTATGTTGCTAGTTTCCCTTCTTGCAAAGAGAGTATGTGCAAGGATCTTGTGAGCATAACAAATAGCCGGGTTTCTTAATCCCGACACTTTGGTTCCACCGGCTTGGTAGTCTCCCAATGAACTCCATAAGTACAAGGCCTCGTTGTGATCTCGAAGATGTGTATTAATTCCCTCGTTGAATCCATAAATCCCACACAACTCATGAAAGCTCACCGAGTAATTCTCTCTTCCAACTCGAAACTCGATATGACCAACAGTCTTGAGTGTCATCGGTGATTCAACTCCGTAATGCACCATCAAAGAGGCAAGATGTTGATCCGTTGGAGTTTTGAATGATGGTGACTCCATTCTTAAAAATTTTGCCATTCCCAAGTTTTTGAAAGATTACTTCCACATCTTCTAAAATGCCGAGCTCATTCAGGAAAGAAAGATCCGGGTATCTAGTTGGAATCATTGTGCTCGCTTTAAGGGCCTTGAGATAGTCCGAGTATGTTGGCTTGGCTTTTTTCGAAGGTTTTCCTCGTGGTTTTGGTTTAGCCTTGCTAGAACTAGCATTGTCGGCAATAATATTTCTTGAGGCAACATTCTTTTCATTATTCCTCGCATTCGCAACATTATCTTTCGTGACTCCCATTTTCGATTCAAGTACCTATAACAAACCAATTACATATATGGAAGAATGAATTGCTAGGTTTGTATAGTGAAGACAAATAGAGTTAAGATGATGACATACGAAACCATTCCTATACATTGAAGTCTCGTAATTAACAAGAGACAAGCAAAGATAATTAAGCATATTCATCAAAGTCTAAACTCAAAGTAGTCTCAAAATTGTTGCAAATTGTGAACGTAGTCATGGAAACGTGTAGACAACTGCTAGAATAATACAATTGAAGCTCATTCATAGAGTAAAACCAATAATCTCTAAAACATCAATGATTCCCAAATGTTCGTCACTTTTCTCTTAGAACTCTAAAAACAAAACTTTCTCTAGCAAATCAATGATTTAACTCACGAAATCAGTAACCCAAGCAATAATGAATAAGGAAGTAGTTACTGCGACCCAAATCGAGTGTAATTGGAGCCTAAATCGAAAGAGATAAAGGTAAAAGCCAAACCTTGAAAATTCATGGAGTAGGGAGTGTGAGAGATTTTTACCTTGGGATTCCGAATGGGAGTGAACGAAAATCAGAAAGAAGCTCGAATTGCCGTCACTTAGCACCCAAAACCACTAAATTTGGTTGAGATTTGAGTAAAATCAAGTTGAAAAGTGAAGGATTTTGTTTTGTTGTAAAAAAAAAACATGAAGGGAAAAGGAAAAGAAAAAATTACTCAAATCCCATGGAACTATGTGAATATGACTAGAATACCATATATCTTTAAAAAATAACTCAAATATTTTTATATCCCTGGTTAATTACGATAAACACCCTTGATTAATTTTTCTTAATTGAGATTATTTTTAATTAAAAAATCAAAAAYAAATCCAAATCATTAAGAAATAACCGTAATCAGAAAAGAGTCAAGTTTTAGTGTCAAAAAAAAAAAAAAAGTCAAGTTTCAAAAGCAAAAACGTTTAAGTTCTCCTCTCAAAGGAAAAAAAGAACGCAAAAGAAAAACCACAAACTTTTTCAACTGTTCTTTCGAAATCGACATTGTTTCTTTCCTCGTGATCGTCTTCTCCACAATCGAAATCGACTTCCCTCGTAATCGTCTTCTCCGCAGTCGCCTATAATCGTGGCTGAGTTATAACTTATGTTGTGGCTGAGTTATGGTATAGAAACACGAAACGTC